GCTGCCCGAGAGGTGAGCCCGTCCACTCCTGTCCAGGGGAGCCAGAGACCCGCTGGGATCCCTCAGCCAGGAGAAGGGGGAGGAGAACCACTTTGTCTTGAGCCTAATGGGAAAATGAGGAATCTTGGGGGGATGCAGCAACAGGGCTCGTGGGGTTGGGCTGCAGTGGGATTCCCACTGTCTCTTGCACTCCTGCAAAGGAGCATTGCTGATGAAGGTCCCTTAGCATCTCCTGCACCTTTGCAGGCAGCAAGCTGCAATCCTGGAGGACTTGGTGAGAAATGTGCCCCTGGAGTTTGATTTCCTCTTCTCCAAATCACATGCAGAAGTGATCTCAGGAAAACAGGAAGGTAGGAGCTGCTGCGCAGCACTGCTTGGTTCGTTTAGTATATTGCGGTAATGACCACTTTCTGTCTCATACAGGTGTCTATGCATGGATCGGTATCAACTTTGTCCTGGGCCGGTTTGATCACGGGGATGGTGAGTGTGACTGCCTGCAGAGCGGCTGGGAGGGTCTGAGCAGAGTCCTGCTGGAGCTCACCTCAGCTCTGGAGCTAAGAACAGGCCCTGGAGCAGGCAGCATCTGCCTCTCTGGCCCGGCAATGCCTGACCCCAGTCCTTTGTGCAAAACCCTCCTGGATCTGGGGCCCAGAGGGGCACCTCCCCTGGTTGCAGGAATGAGTCCCTGCATGCGGGAGGGGGACACCTGCAGCATTTTGGGAGAAGAACCAGGGAGAGAGGGTTTGTTCCTTTAGTGGCTTCCAGCGGTGGATGCTTTGGGGGAACCTACAAAGCTGTGGGGCACCCAGCTCTTGGTGCCGGGACCCAGTGCCCTGCCAGTGATCCTTGGGGATGCTTGCAGGGGTGAAAGAGCCCCATGAAGCTGCTTTAGGGGGTAACGGTGGAAGGGAGATGCCTCTGCAGGCCCTGCCCCTTGCTGACACGTTGCTGTGGGTTGCAGAGGAGGATGCAGTGGTCACTGTAGCACTGGGAGACCTGGGAGAGTCCTTGGTTCGGAAACGAACGGTTGGGATCTTAGACATGGGGGGTGCCTCCCTGCAGATCGCCTATGAAGTGCCCGACTCCGGAGCCATTTCTTCCCGGCAACAGGTAAATATCTGTCCAGCTGGCTCTGAGAGCAGCCCTTGCTTTCCCTGGGCCACTGCTGATCAGGGACCTCTCTGCGTCCCCAGGAGAAGGCTGCCAAGAGCCTGCTGGCAGAGTTCAACCTGGGTTGTGATGTGCAGCACACTGGCCACATGTACCGTGTCTACGTCAACACCTTCCTGGGCTTTGGGGGCAATTTTGCCCGGCAGCGCTACGAGGAGCTTGTGCTGAACCAGACCTATATGCACAACCGGTATTGCTGCCTTGCCTGGCAGTGCCCCTGCTGGGACACTGTGAAATGGGATGCTGGTTCATTCACGCTGCTTTCTCCCCATTGGATTTGCTCCCAGAGCCGCCCGTGGTGATATCAGCTCCCACAGCCACGCTGGCAGCAGCAGATGCCCAGGCTGGCATAGGGTGAACAGGCACTGCCCTTCTCAAGCCCAGCAGACGTTATCAGTGCTGCAACTCCCTGCCTTCCTTATCCTCTCCTTGCAGCAGGCTGCAGCGAGGCCCCTCTGGTGGTTTTCGACTTTTCTTGCTCTGACTTTCCCTTCTCGGCACCAACTCACTCAGTGCATCCTTCCATCGCATCCCCACCTTGAGCTCTCTGTCTCCTGTCTCTCCTTCCCTTCCCAGAGCACTACGTGAAGCTAGCACCAAAGGAGGAGAGGCTTGGTGCCCAGGTACTCCTGTGCTGGGAGCAAACCCTGCCTACAGATCCCAGGGGGTTGTGCAGGGGTGTGGATCCCTGCAAGCTGGGTGGGGTGGCTGTGCCTTGTTGCACCCCATAGGTGCTTGGGGCACATGGCCACAGGTCAGCATACCGTGGGGTACAAGGGGGCACAGCCTGGTCTGGGGCAGGGGCTATCTGGATGCAGGGCAGCGCTAGTACAGTACCCCATGTGCAATTGTGTTTCCTTCCTGGCCTGTTTTCCAGCTTGCACAGCCAGCAGACAGGACTGAGCCCTGAGATGCCCTTCCTGGACCCTTGCCTGCCCGTGGGGCTCGAGGACACGGTGGTGAGGGGCAGCCAAACCCTGTACTTGCGGGGCCGAGGGGACTGGCCAGCCTGTGTGGAACTGCTGCAGCCCCTCCTGGATGGGCCCAACAGCAGCCAGGCATCGATGGCAGGGGCCTACAAAGCACCCATTGACTTTGGCAACAGCGAGTTTTATGGCTTCTCTGAGTTCTTCTACTGCACCGAGGATGTTCTGCGGCTGGGGGGCCACTACAGTGCCCCCACCTTCACCGCTGCTGCCCAGGTGGGTGCTGCCTCAGCACAGCTATTCCTGGGGCTGGGAGGGAGCAGGGGCTGTTTCTCTACTCTGAGCCCCCAACTTCTCCCTTCCCCAGGAGTACTGCAGCCAGCGATGGGAGGTGCTGACCCAGCGCTTCCGTGGTGGCCTCTACTCGGCACATGCTGATCAGCACCGGCTGAAGTAAGCAGCTTGGCTGAGGGAGTGCCATGGCTGGACCTCCTAGGGGGGCTTTTGCTGGGGTAAGGGACAGCGGTGCAGGTGGCAACACCCAACTGATGATGTTCCTGCAGGTATCAGTGCTTCAAATCAGCCTGGATGTACCAAGTCCTCCACCAGGGCTTCCACTTCCCCCTGGACTACCCCAGCCTGCGCACGGCCCAGCTGGTGTATGACCGGGAGGTGCAGTGGACGCTGGGAGCCATCCTCTACAAGACACGGTTTCTGCCACTCAGGTAGTGTTGGGTCACTGATGGCATTGCTTGGGGAAGGGCAGCTGGGAAGGATCAAGAGTTACTGCATTGGGCCAAGGGCTCTGGGAGTACCCCATCTCATGGCCAGTCCTCACTCCTCTCTGCAGGGATCTCCGGCAGGAGAGCATCCGGCAAGCACACATCCCCTGGCTGCGCCTCTCTTTTGTCTACAACCATTATCTCTTCTTTGCTTGCATCTTGGTGGTAGCACTGGCCATAGTCCTCTACCTGCTGCGGCTGCGCCGCATCCACCGCCGGCAGCTGCGTGCGGCCCAGCTCAGCCTGCTCTGGCTGGACAAGGTGGTGGTGCCACAGAGACAGGGAAATGGGCCATGACACTGGTGGTACCCACCATCGAGTTGCACCAGCAGAACCAGGACTGGCTGACAGCCTGGGCTCCGAGGGCTTGGACTCCTTCTTGATGACCATCTCAAGTCTGCACTCCATCGTCTCCATGTCAGAACCACAACCTGTGGGCTGAGGCAGCCCCAGATGCCAGAGCTTTCCTCTCTGCCTCGCCCCAGTCCTAATCTTTGCACTCCTTGGCCTCCGGCCGTTGCCTGACTACACAGCATGAAGCAAAGTCCTCTGCTGCCAGCAGGCTCAAGGCTGCAGCTCTGGCAGGTTCCTCAGATAAGCAGGACACTATCACCAAGGTGGCCAACCCGGGCCACCTCATGACTCAGCCACCAGTTTGCAGAGCAAGCTGGTACAGCTCATCACCTGGGATGACATTTCTGCAGTCCCTTACAAACCCACAGAGTGGAGAACAGCAGTCATCAGTGAAGTTACTGCAGGAACCAGGTGAGCCACCAGCTCCATGAAGCAGAGCTGCTCCGCCCAGCCCAGCCCACTCTCAGAGCATTCCTGCTCTTT